CTAGCCTCTGCACATCAGAGTTTCAGGCCCACCCTGGAAAAAAAGGCCCTAAACTAGAGGGGCAGAGGCACCTGCAATGGTTCCTGCCTGCTCGGGGGCCCAAGGTCTGCACCCTGAGGACATCCTGATTTCTGTCCCCGAACCTGAGGCTGGAATGATTCAGGATGGAGGGACGCCAGCTCCAGCATCCTCCTTACTCCCAGATCTATCCCAAAACCAATTCATTTTTTAAGGAAGGAAAGAAAAACACATTTTAAAAATATAGGCACCTCAGCAATCCTTCCAAGCATGTGGTTTGCGTTTTTTTTTTTTCACAGACAGGGAAACTGAGTCTCAGAATATCTTGCCCAAGGCCAGGCAGCTAGAAGCAGGTGATGGCAGATTTGCGTCTAGATCTGCTTGGCTCCAAAGCCAGTCTCATCTGGTCAAGACCCTTCCCTTTGACCTCAAAGCCTATGTCTTCTCTATTAAACTCTACATTGCACTTTGACATCAAAACCCACTTTGGGGTATAACATAGCTCCAGGCATTGATACAAGAAGGGAAAGTGACTTATGCAAAGAAATTCAGGGTGATGCAACTTGTAGTCACCAAAGTACAAACTGACAGAGCAGGAGTCAGCGCCCAGGGCTACATACAGGGAGGGGCTGAGCCAGGCACGGGCCATGGCACAGCAAAAGGTCACCGTGCTTGGCCAGTTACCCACACAGTAACAAGAGCAATGGCTCACGGTTGTTGAGTGCTTCCTGAGTGCCAGACCCTGTTAGCAGGACTTTGTATGTCCTGAGACTCACGTGTATCCCTAACTCATTCAATTCTCATATGAACCCAGTGAACGGCCACCCCTCAAAGGCACGGCAGCTGAAGCCCTGGGAACTTAAGTACCTTGTCCAAGGCCATGCGGCTAGCCAGGGGGCTCTGCCACACTGTGTGTGACTGCTGAGTGGTCACGTCTGTCTGGAAAGGCAGGAAGGGGGAGACACACACAAAAGCCAAACAGTAATGGCTGTATAGGCAAGGATTAACCCAGAGTGTGAGCATGCTTTGTTGTCAGACAGACGTGTGTCTGGAAGGGGTAGAGAGTGTGGCGTGAACCCGTCCTCCACTTCTGTAAACATTTTTATAATCCTTTTTTCACAAAGCTGGCCAGGAAGGTGCTGGCACGGGCGAGAACCTGGCAGCCAGGTGCGAGTGAATCAAGAAGGACGATGAGCCACAGGAAGGATGTGGCACCAATTCCACCCGCTGCTCTCCCCGGCTGTGTGGGGGAGGAGCTCATGGCTCTTGCTGGCCCGAGTGTCCCCACTGGGCCTCAGTTTCCAAGATTTGGGAAATGCGTTCCTGGCCTCCGTGGCTCCCCCGTCGCAAATGTGCACACGATATTCAGGGCTCCTAACAGGCTTAGCAAGCACTTCTGCAGGCCCACAGCCCGTCTGAAGTGAAAGTCAGGAGCAGCTCTCTGCAGCCATCACCCGCCTCCTGGTGGCCACACGCCCTGCCGGTTGCCTGAGGAGCTCTGATGGGCATGGGGAGGCTCAGGAGCGTGTGAATGCGGCTCTCCCAGGCATAGACCGAAGCGGTGAGCCGGCACCTGGGCACGAAGAATAAAGCCTGGTTTGTGCCTCCAGAATGTGTAGCACAGGCCTGGGGGAGGGGAGCAAGCCCACTGCCAGTGAGGCCGGGCCAGGAGCCTCCCTGGGGAGACCCCACCTCCCTTCCTGCCCAGTCCTCACACGGACAGACTCCCCTTCCTGGCTGTGTGCACCTGCTCCTTCCTGGATCCCCCACAATGTAGTTCATGGATTGGTTTCCAATTCCAGGTCCACCATTGTAGTAATGGCAGCCATTTCCAGCCTATCAAGGGCTACCCGGATGCCAGGCATGGTGTTTAGTGCTTTACAGAACTTGACCTCAGTTCCTTCTGCTAATCCTGCCATCATTAAGCCTATCAAACTTGCCCATACATGACAGAGCTCGGATCCAAACCCAGGTGGGCCTGGCTCCAGAGTCCACATTCTGTTGGTGCAATGTGTTGCCTCCTATCACTAGTGTGAGACTTCGGGTGAGTTACTCTGACCTCTGAGCCCATTTCCTCCTCAGCAAGAAGAGGACAAGAATGCTCACATGCTGGGGCCCCTGTGACGGTTAAGGGAGGTGACAACGTGAAGGTCACTGTGAGCAGCTGCTTTCAGCTCCAGACCAGGCGTGGAGGTCAAGAGGCTGCTTCAGCAAGAAGAGGACAAGAATGCTCACATGCTGGGGCCCCTGTGACGGTTAAGGGAGGTGACAACATGAAGGTCACTGTGAGCAGCTGCTTTCAGCTCCAGACCAGGCGTGGAGGTCAAGAGGCTGCTACGTGGGCCGGCCCGGTGGTGCACTGCTACAGTGCGCTGCTTGGGAGTGCGGCGGCGCTCCCGCTGAGGGTTCGGATCCCACATACAGACCGGTTCCCGCTCTCTGGTTGAGCGGGGGGCGGGGGCGAGGTCGAGG